AAGCCTCCTGCCATTGTTTACATCTGTTCAAAATCACGCATTTAAAAAAAAAAAAAAAAAACATTGCCGCTGTTTGAGTGTTGTACGGAGAGACCGTGCGCGTGTGTGTGTGTGTGTGTGTGTGACACTCGCGCTCTCTCTTTCCTTATGTGTGTATGTGCACACATCCTCGTACCTCACCGCTCCAAACTTAATCCGGGAAAGGTGAACATTCCTGCATCATAACTTGGACTGAAAGATGAATGTGTAGAAAGTGAGCATGTCTCCAAAAACATTGTTGAGCTGCAGGTTTAATGCCTGCATTTTTTTATTATTTTTTTTATCTTTGTTTTTACAGAAATTATGTTTTGATTATATTTTTGATTATTGAGCTGCAGGTTTAGGCTCACTTAAGTGACTGCATTTAATTAAGAAGAATTTAATTATTTATTCTAATTATTTAGCCTGACATGCTTACTGTTCCAAAATGTTCTATATGTTTCTTAAAAATAAAATGTGTTTAGTGGGAAAAAAAAGTTTTTTTTACCCAGACATTTAAAAATAACATATTTTAGAGCTGTAATCGCAATACCGCTGATACCGTGATATTTTTTTTATCTAAGGTTATCACACCGTCAGAATCTCATACCGACCCACCCATGCCTAGTGACTGGTGTAGTGTTAGATTTGTAAAATAACTTGGTTAGAAATATTCGGAATGTTAAAATAATGTCAAGCTGGAGTTCTCTGCACAACAGATTTAAATTGAACAGCTCTTGAGACATTGAAAACATATCATGAGCAAAATTAGAATTAGAATTGAATTGAGACAGCACAGTGAATCTCATGCAGACTATATATATACGTATAAGTATATCACACAAGGCCATATCTTTTCTTTCATAAATTGTATTAATTGTGTAGCCCTGCAATGTAGCTTAAAATGGAAATATTTGTCTTTCAAATGCCGAAATATAAACCGTTGAATGACTTCCGTTTCCTTCAGCGCAGATAATGTGTGTGGGTTTGCTGTCAGGCTGTTGCGGTCAGGTAGAGAAGGGGCCCTGTGACACCGGCAGTGAAAGCAGCATTCAAATAAGGAGCGGTGCAGGCCTCTCTGCTGGGCGCTGGGGTTTTCCTCCCTCATTTTCCTCCTCTGTCCTCTGCATGACTGTGCTGAATAAAATCTCTAAATTAATTTGAGCAGTGCTCCATGGAGAGCAGCGGCGTCACACTGAGTAGAATCTCTCCCCAGTGTTCATCCACACACAGCTGAGCTCACGATCATCAGCTATGAGTCAACAGCACTGCTCTCCTCTCCTGAAATTCAGCTCTGAGTACTGCAAGAAGGCACAGTGTTGGGCAGGATATAATATGCAGTGGTAAAAATCTTTCAGCCAGTAGAAATTTTGCTGTATCATTTTTTCTGGAATAGATGTATCCATGCTGCTATAACATGAGGCATGACGTAACATGGACTAATGCAACAATAGTGACGTAACATGGACTAATGCAAAAATAAAACATGTATTTATATAGTTGATTTACCAAAAAATTGTTCAACACTTTGGGTCTGTAGAGATCTAAAACTATTAAAAAAATGTTTGTTTGAGCTAATGGACCAGCCTGACTTGACAACATTGATTCAACCAGTGACAACCAATTGGAGATGGCGGAATGTTTGGGGAACTTGTTTGACAACAGTCATCATTGTAGCAATTTTAGTGATGCTACATTTACATTTACATTTAGTCATTTAGCAGACACTTTTATCCAAAGCGACTTACAAATGAGGACAATAAAAGCAGTCAAAACTAACAAAAGAGCAACAATATATAAGTGCAAATGACAAGTCTTGGTTAGCCTAACGCAGTACACGTAGCAAGGTATATATAGGGTTGGGTACCGAAACCCGGTGCCAATATGGTATGATTGACAGATACAGTAGAAACATTATGTGTGGTTTTGTATAAAATATTGTTTTGTATTAAATTAATGACCCAGATCGTGAAATACATTTATTAGCCTTAGAGTAAGGGAAGCACAACTCGGGAAATGAGAGCATCCAAGGAGCACGTGAATGCTATGTATATTTATTTTAAATATTTTTAATGTTATCCATCGTTTTTTTGTGGCTCTTTTTTTTAAAGTACTATATATATATATATATATATAATACACACACACACACACAAAGAAAAACAAGTTAGAGGGTCAAATAAAGATGGATGATGATATGATGCTAGTGGCACATAAATGATACACTTCTACAGCAAACTCTGCTTGTTGTTTTAAAAAAAGTTGTTTTGCTGTTGAGGTGTAACAGTAGGTATGTTCATGTGTATACATTTTCGGAATTAATACAATCTGATTTGAGATTCTGAGTTCTGTTTACAATCTAAATCACATATTCATTTACATGTGCTTTATGTGTATTCAGAACAAAACTTCAGCGCATACGTAGTGCCCGGTCACCATATTCAGAACTGGAAAAAGCCACAACGATAATGCCACCAGAGCTATCATGAGCATAATTGGCATTTTTGCTTTGATGACATATCTAAAAAGAAAGGTGACATATGTCAAAAGAGTTTTTTAGCTAATATTTAGTAAATATGCAGTCTGTTCTACTGACCATTTCATAGGACGAAAAATAAACGTGTTTATTGCATTATCGTAAGATATAAAACGCAAGTAAACATAGGCCTACCTATCATGGCACTGATTGAGAAAATACTTGGATTCAAGCATTTACGTGCTTATTTTTATTTATTTATTTTTTCTGTTGACCTACTCCCATCAAAATTTTAATGTGGATCGAATTTTAATGTGAATGTGTCTGAGCTGTTTTAACTGAAAGAAACTTGCACTGTCATATCTTAAAATATATCAGTGCCATTGTTTTGTTTCAAGATGCACACAGAAATGTTTTTTATTTTAAAGGAATGCTTATAAAAGATACTTAAATGTCCTAATTGAACTATGGCCTAAACCTGGCTTAGTCTAAGCCCTGACTGTGAAACCAGGCCATAATGTTCCCTACTGATTGATTTGATTAACTGATTGATAGCATGATTCACACCTCTGTACTTATTTGTCAATCAATTGGACTGATTTAATAAAAAAATAAATAAATCTTTATGAATTTGACACATTTCACTGTACTTTTTTTTCTTTTTTTTTGCATGTAGTCTGCACAAAGAGTGCAATAGAAATTAGTAATGGCTTTTTATTGGCAATTATTTTGTGGCATCTCATCACAAATTACAGACTTTGGTCATAGTTAGGTTACATCATTGTCTATACAGTGGGTAGTGGTTAAGGTACTGTACCTGTGATACAGGTTCTTGGCTTTATTTGCATGCCCATTGAATATTAATGAGGGCTAACGGTCATGAATCCCAGTTCTGTTTGTCTGTTCTGCTGGTGGAATTCAATAAACTGTGTAGATAAAATGACCATTAAAAAAAAAAAAACAGGAGTCTATAGGGTATGTGTGTATTTCTTCATGTGTGCAAGCTTGCATTTTTGTTAGAGAATTACTACTTAAATTATTCATAATAATTGTTTGTTACTTAAAATATAAAATGTATATATGTCTAAATCGTCTGTGTTTTGGGTCTACTTTGTGGATTAATGTATGGTTATGCAATAATGATATTATTCCTTTAGTTTGCTGAATGTAAACTGTGCTTTACCAATGTTTTCTAAGTAATCCGATTTACTTACATTTTTATTAATTTATTTATTGTAATTTTTTATTAATTTATTTATTGTCATGACAAAAGTTGAAAGATTTTAGCTTTGTGCAAATCTTTTAAGGTGTTTCTTGTCAGACCAGTGTAATATATGAATGTGTTTGTGTCTTTATACAGAATGTCATCAGAGGATAAGAGTCTGGAGCCCTCTGAGCAAGGACCATCTCCTCCCCTGAGCAGTGCTGGGGCCACGCCCTCAGGGAGCCCAGCCCCCTCAGATAGACGCCCTCGGGGCCGGCCACGCAAAGATGCTTCCTCTGTCACACCCAAGTCCAAAACAAAGTAAGTGCATCTCCTGTTCCCATGTGAAGGTGTTTGCATATGACGACACACCTTGAGAGCTGACCTTGTGCCTGCTTTGCATTTTACTTTGTGTTGTTTAAAGGAGGATAAATGTTATAACGTTGACAAATTACTGACTAATCTACTGAGAATTGATTATATTAAAGGGCTTAATGAATGAAACCACTGACACTTATGCATAGACAATTTCAGGTTTATGAGTCATATGTTATTTAGTACTTCGTGATATGCCACAAATTGGCAGAACTGAGGGTTATCATTTGCCCAGAATTCAGACTGAATCAATAAAGCTTAACTCACGATTGTTCAAGCTTGACTGAACGATTGTGATATTTATGGTCATTTACGAGGCTAGTTAATACTATCATGTGATTATGATGACCTGAGTATCTTTCCTTCCCCCTGCCATCCCCACCCCTCCCCCTCTTTTTTAGTATTAAAGTCTTAGCCAGTTTTCCAGCTTATCTTCTGAACTCCCCTTTGCACATTTAAACTATTCATTAAGCATGGTGAATTATTTAAATCATTTTTTAATAAGAAACTTTTGGATAAATAATTTGCTTAAGGTCAGATGTATGTTAAGGCTCAGGGAGTTGGTTAACCCACTATGCAAGGCTGCATGTTTTGTGATTATCAGTATATGGTAATAATAATTTTATTATTAATGTTTTTTTACATTATTTTGTATCTGTAAAATTACAGTACTAATGTTGATGGGTGTCTTAAATTCTTCATTTTCAAACATTAAACCGTTAAACTTTTATTTTGGCGTGAAATCGCAGAAAGCTTCTCATTACAAGTATGATAAGATGGTTGTCACGTGTTGTGTTCCCAAATGCATGTTATAAGTGACCCAAACTACACAAGCTCCATCTCTGCATTTACTGCAAACAGAGCTGTTCATTCTGAGATGCTGCAAACCCTGGTGGATCATAAGCTGCTTACATGTAAGAACACAGTGCCGTGCTTCACTGTGAAACATGCAGTGCATATTTTTATTTAATTAAACAGTAGACTTTGCGATTTGACAATTATACTAAGCCATATTGCGATTTTGGTTTTATTTTGATTAATCGTGCCCTACCAATATATATGTGTGTGTGTGTGTGTGTGTGTGTGTGTGTGTGTGTGTGTGTGTGTGTGTGTGTGTGTGTGTGTTGAGAGGGCTGTATTCTGGTGAAGTATTCTGCTGCACCTGGAAGAGGCTTTCAAGTGTGACGATGTGCATTAGTGTGGAAGAGCTCTGTGAGGCACACAAGGAGAGATGCTGCTCTAGAAGGACGACATTTTCTTTTGCCAAGTTGATTTTGGCTCCAAAATAAATCTGCTCTCAAACAGCATGGGGCGTAAAAAAGGGAACATTTTAGATTTTAGACTTTAGAAATAGGCTGTATTTCGAATGACACCGTGTCTACACCTGACATGAGCGGCATGACTCAACAAATCTAGATTGCTTTCATGATAGTCAACAGAGCCGTCTACTGGATATGGCTGATGTGGCGCATCATCCATTTATGGATTCTGCTTTTGCTGTATTTTGGATTAAATAAATGCAGGCTTGGTGAGCAGAAGAGAATTCTTTAAAAAAAAACAAAAAAAACCATAAAAAATCTTACTGTTCAAAAATTTTTGACTGGTAGTGTAGGCTGATTATTCTTATAGATTGAAACAAATGCTACTTTATCAGATCAAATGAAAATGCCATTGAAACTTTTCTGAAGACAGTCAATTCCCTTCAGAGATACATTCATATAAAACACCCGCGCCGTTTGTTACAATTGATTTTGAAACGTGCAGTGCTCATGTTTATTCAACGAAGTCAAACGGCACAAATAAATCAATGTATGGGAAACTGGTAATGTATATCGAAATATCGGAAATGTGTTTAAAAATCATATCACCGTTATTGAAAAAAATTATATCGCGATACATATTGATATTGAATTATTGTCCAGCCCTAGATTCCCCCTTCCTTTTTTTGATATTCTGCACAGCTATTCTGCCACTTTATTCCCTCTTTTTAAAACTTTGCATTATAACCCAATAGTTCACTCAAAAATCATTGCTCCAAATGTCACTCCAAAAGTCTGATTACTTGCTTCCATGCTGCACAAAAGGAGAAAATTTGAAGGCCGTTTTCCATGCAGTTACATTGAATAGGGACAGTCTTTCAAGCTACCAAAAAGGACACAAAAGCTTCACGTCATAAAAGTGGTCCATATGAGCCCAAGTCTTCTGAAGCCATACAATAGCTTTGTGGGAGAAACAAATGGGAAGAGTTGATTTATTTATATATCTACTTTGCTTTATTGACTGTTTTCGATAGTTATATAGAGGTTTTACAGTACATGGTCATGCTGACACCATGGAGATGGCTATCATCAAAGTGATTCATTCTTAAATAGCCGCTCATGAAGTAGCCTACAGGTTCACACTGTATGTTACTGAACTAGGCAAATTCTGTGTTTATTACGTTCCACTAATTATGCCATGAGTTCATAGTACTCTTAAACTCTTACAATACCTAGACCTTTTTTTTTTTTTTTTTTTTTAAAGAGTAGTTTACTCAGGGCATTTGGTGAGTATCAAGCCTGATGGGAATACGGGGCCTCCACTATGAGATCAAGTGTTGGCTGTCAAATAAACAGTGCAGATATAGGGCAGATTAGTGAGTTACCTGATACTGCAGGTACAGCCCTCTGTGGACCTACATGCAATGTTCACACCATGAATGTTGTGTCTCGATGCACAAAAAACACTCAGTTGAGATCTCAATTTTAAAGTGATTGTACAGTTGTCTGAACTGGCTGAAAAGAAAGTCTTTTTGTTTAAAGGGGTTTCAAAGCTATGACTGCTTTTATACATGTTTTCCCAAAACACTTTCCCTTTCTGACAAATCGTCACCTTGAAATCATAAGGTTCTCTCTGACATTTTTGTCAGAATTGAGTTATTCACATATTCTTATTCTGTTTTATTAACTTATTTACATTATTTTATGTTTTCTTTTAAGTTGTGTACATTTTAGGACTTTTTATTTAGAAGACAAAAATGCAACCTTGTGTCGTTCTAAAACCAAAATGACCTTATTTTGCAGATCACAGAGTTGTTGGTATGTTGGTGACCAAACAGTTTTGGTTTCTATTTTATTTCCATTGTATGGACCAAAAAAAAAATAATACAGACATTTTTCTCAAATTATCTACCGCAGAAGAAAGTCATAAAAGTTAATATACAAGGAATAATATGAAGGTGAGTAAATAATGACAGAATTTTCTTTTTTGGGTGAACTACAATTACAACAACAATAATTACTGTAATTTGTAGGTTGATTCCTGAGAAAGTAAACACGGATCTAGATAGTTGAGCCGAACTGTTGCATTTGGACTCAAATGCATCTCCATGCTTGATTGTGAAGATCACTCTGTGAATCATTGGGTTACCACTAAGAGCTTGTCTGATTTCCCACAGTCTGTTCACTGACCATTTCACTGACATGTCTAAGTAAGTGGTTCTTTACTAGGGCTGCATGATTAATCGAAATTAAATCGCAATCACTATTATCGCGATTTGGCAAAAGCTGCGATTAACATGGGCATCTTGTCAGGGAAGCACGGTTCTGTGATTAGCAGTAAATCTCCATTCGAAGGCCGGAGGGCGCTCTCACACGGAAACTCCAAATACGCCCCTCAGAAGAAATCCAGGAAATCCCTATAGCGGTTGCTGAATAAACAAGATTTAACTGCTTTCATTAGTTCAACGTAGGGCTGGACAATAATTCAGTATCTGAATAATTCAATTATTCTGAAAACAGTTATTTTAAATAGTAAAAATATTTCAAAATGTTACTGTTTTTGCTGTATTTTGGATCAAATAAATGCAGGCTTGGTGAGCAGAAGAGAATTCTTTAAAAAACATTAAAAATCTTACTGTTCAAAAACTTTTGACTGGTATGTTAGCCTATAGTTTGAAGTAAAAAATATTAATATTAATATTAATAAGGAGAGTCATTTTTTTCTTAAAATATTATATAGTTTTATAGGAGTAGGTTTCATAGAGTTGGCAAATAAATTTTTCATAAGTTTGTAGGTACAGACATCTGTTGTGGCCGTTCTTGGCCGTTTTTATGAGGCTTTTTTAATAGTGTTCATATCGATATCGGAATTATACCGTATCGACCGAAATTAAGAAATATATCGTGATATAAATTTTGGCCATATCGTCCAGCCCTAGTTCAACGTGACTAATAAACACACGACTACGACAATATATGGTTTATCAGAGTTTGTCTTATTATAATCTTTATTATAATAAAGTATATAATAATGCAATGCTAATCGACATAGCTTTTATCACTGCTTAGAATACTATGAAATATGTTGCGTGCCTTATTCTGTGTAAGAAGCCACATCATCTCACAGAAGGATTTATTTCAAACACTCGACTGACATGAAGTGATTTTGGAACAATTTGGTATTTTCACGCGCTTTCAGATGTAACCGCATTTACTACAAAGAGCCGTAGTTCACTGACAAGCTACGCAAACAGCTTTCATAATCGCAGAACGATTTCTTTGATTTCATAATCGCGCAATTAAATCGGTCTGCGATTATGAACTCGGTTTTGTGTACCTTGTCAATGAACTACGGCTCTGTGTAGTAAATGCTGCTCCATCTGAAAGTGCGTGATGGAGATTTACTACTGATCACAGAACCGGCTTTTCTGACAAGATGCGCATGACAATCGCATTCGATTAATCGTGCCAGCCCTATTCTTTACCAGAATAAGCTGCTAGGTAGGTCAAATGTTAGGCTATTCTGAAAGCTTGTATTTGATGTGTTTTGGTATGTATCAGATAAAAAGAAGAATTCCTCAATTCCGTATGCACACGCTGTCTGAAAGACAGTTTCTGTGCATACATACCTGAAACATGCATACATAAAGCCGCTTGGTCACTCATCGTTCAAGTACTGAATTTAGT